TGACCCCACCAAGCCTGGCACTGAAGTTAACTCTAGAGGTGTCCATGCCAGGGAGCCCAGGGTTCAGGGGAAAGATCCAGAGGGAGGGCAGGCAGCATAGCTTCCCCCAGGGCCTCTGTGAATCGGGTAGCCCAGTGACCCAAGGACTGTGTCCATCCCCACTCTTGAAAGTAACCTGATGTCTGGGCCTTGGAGGGAGCCCTCACAGGAGCACCTGGACCTGGTTACAAGTTTTGGCCCTCTTGGCAAGGTTACTTCCTGTGACCATCACAGGAAATGACATCATGGGCACAAATGGGTCTGTGGAGGGTGTGGGAACAGGGCTGGGTGAGAGGCCTTCTTTGTTAGGAGCAACTTGGTGTCCTCCAAGCTGGCCAGCCCCCATTTGTCATCAGTAACAGGCATTGTAACAGCCTCTGAGGGGGACTGCAGCCTGAACCCTACAGGAGCCAGGGCCAGATGGAGGCAGTGTTTTGTGTCCAAGGAGGGGCCTAGCCTGTGGGGTTTGTGTTTTTAAAACATAATAAGTTGGCTCGTCTCCCCCAGCTCTGCCCGCTCCCCACCGAGCGCAGTGAGCACAGTGAATGGGAGAGATTTTCCATGCGGTAGGAGTCGGGGCTGGGAGAATGAGCTGGTGTCCAGAGGCTGAGGAACCACCATGATTACCGATGATGACTGTGCCCAGCGTGGGACAGCTCTGTGCACACTTCCCTTACCCCCTCCTCGCCTCCCTGTCCTGTGCCAGCCAGCCCTGGACACATGGTCTTGCTCTGCTGGAGATAGATTCCTAGAACCATGCCAAGGTCCCTCAGCTCCAGGGACAAAGGCAGGTGACGGAGGTGCCAAGCCCCTCTCCACCAAGCTACAGCTTTGTATTGGGACCTCTACCCAGAGCAAAGTCTGGCCTCGGAGAGGAATGGTGGGTGTTTATATTCTAATGTGGGACACCGGGCATGTATCTGCCATAGCTGGCTCTTTCTGAACCATCGGGACCCTGATCCAGAAACAGAACTCTGATCCAGCTGGGTTAGTTTGTTGTGTGATGTTGTTAGTTGCTCCCCATTTCTGAGCTGGTGACATGACAGGACTCCAGATCAACTTTCTTGAAGGAGTTCAGGTGACAATGGTCAAGTACAGGTCTCCAGCTCCTCCCACAGACGTAGCTGGAGAACGTTCCCCAACCTGCTACACAGACTGCAGGACCACCGCTCTCAGAGCGTGCTTTCATCTGGCTCCTTGGGTGACAACCCTCACGGCAGCACCCCCAAGTTAGCAGGCAAGAGGCAAACCACCTTCTCAGACAGCCTAATTCGGACTGGGGATTTGAAAGGGGCCAGAGGGCTCTGGATAATTTGCCTGCTCCTGCCCAGCCTGAGCCTGGGGTCAAAGGTCATCTCAGGGAAAGCCAAGCTACCTTCTCTTCATAAAATGACAAGAGTAGGGTTGGTGACATGTGCCTGTGATTCAAGCAGTCAGGAGGCTGGGGCAGGAGGATCAGATCTGAGGGCGGACTGAGGACTGAGGGCACCTGGTCTACAGAGTGAGACCCTTTTAAAGGAAGGAAAAGAGAATAGTGTGCTTGGGGTGGGACCTCTGGGAAGCCGGTCCCTTTTTGGTCCTCTGCCTCCTGCCTACTCTAGTGCCTCAGGTCCTGGCACCTTTGGAGTCAGCATTTTCACTGTTGGTCCAGCCCAGGCCCCGGAGAAAAGCCTGTGTACTGAACAATGTTGCCTTTCCCACTGCCCGTCTCCATCACGTCTCCAGACATGAACACTGAGGTCCATTGGAAGGGTGTGGTACACCCCCTGCCCTCCAGAACAGTCACTGAGACTGCTAAGGAGCCTCGGAGCTCCCACGTACAGTGCCTGCTCAGCCCACTTACCCCCACACCTGCCTGTGTCCCTGGCTCAAAGAACAGGGAAGTTGTCACTAGGAGGGCAGCAGGGTGGTGGGTGGACTCAAACCTGGCCTCAGAGACAGGAGACTAAAGAGCTGAGAATCTGGGGGCAGAGACCTCCAGAGGTGAGGTGGCTGTGCGACCTCCAAGATCAGTGTCATGGCTGGGACCCCTAGAGACTAGGAAACTTTGTGACCTCCGAGGTCAGTCAGTGTCCTGACTGGAAGGCCAGCCAGTGGCATCTGTGAGTCGTTGTTGGTCTGTCAAAGCAGCCAAGGCAAGCCTGGTCCTCCCAGGGTCCTTGGAAGTGTGTGTGAGTGAGCTAAAGTCGGATGAAGAGTTGTGGGGGGGCATTTAAATGACACCCACAGACCTCTCTCATTCCATAGGGTCAGGAAGCTAGGAGTAAGGCTTAGACAGTACACACGTGTGACACCTGCATCTGGGAGGTGGATCTCAGGAGGGCCGAGGGTTCAAGGTCATTATCACCTACCTAGAGTGTACCAAGCTTGATGCCAGGTCAGTCACAGCCCTGGGCAGAGAGGCTCCTGTAAGATAGACTAGGAACCCCTGACTCAGGGATGTGATTCCCAGACTGTGCTGTGCCACCTCAGGGTGCTATGGAATAGCTGTTTTAGTCCCAGGGAAACTGTGAGGGAGCTCACTGTGTTCACACCAACATTATCTGGCTCTCTCTCAGCTGGCCAGGTCACTGCAAAACCAAGTGTCGGATACCAGGAACTAAGGACTCTGTGACAAATGGAGGACGGGGGTGGGGGCAGCGTCCACTCTGCTCTGAGAACTTGTGCTGTGACCAACAGGTACACACACAGTATCCTAGTTAGTAAGTTGTAGAAGTGGGATAGAGAGTGTGCAAGCGCACATGTAAGCATGCATGTGCGTGTCTGTGTGTGTGCACGCCTGTGCATGTATACATGCATGCCTCTGTGTGTGTCTGTGCGCATGTGCACATGTTAGAAGAACTTAATGACCCATAGATCCAGCTATGAGAAATAATATGAAATACCAGTTTCTCTGAGCCTCGGTTCCCACACTTAAGATGATAATTTCCAGATCCACCCCTTTCTCTGCAAAAACTTTCTATTTTTGTGGATGAGTAAAATTCCACATTTTCATTACCCATCCGCTGACAGGCATTTCTGCTGATTCCGTTTCCTTGCTCTTGTGAGGAGAGTAGTGGTACACGTGGCCGTGTGATTATACCAGGTAGTTTTCAACTCAAAAAAAGTTGATGACTCAACTTTTAGGAATACATTCATATTGAGTTCCTTGACTGAATAATAATAATAGTGATAATAATAACAGTAATAATAATAATAAATTCTTTGTGGATGGTGGTCATGAGATGTATCTAGGGGCTATGAAGTCTCCTCTAAGCAGGGCAGAGTAGCCCCCAGGAACCCAAGTACTTCATCCTTGGCTGGTGCCAGAGGACCTGGTAGAGGCTGCACACCTGCTGCACCATGTTGGCGGTGGGCACGGCCTGAATGTTCTGTTTCTTGGGTTCAAACTTTAGCTCTGCTCTGTGGTCCTGAGCAACTTGAGCAACCTCGCTGAGCCTCAGTTTCTCCTCTATAAAATGAGGACAACAGGCCGGGCAGTGGTGGCGCACCCCTTTAATCCCAGCACTCAGGAGGCAGAGGCAAGTGGATCTCTGTGAGTTCGAGGCCAGCCTGGTCTACAGAGTGAGTCAAGGACAACCAGGGCTACACAGAGAAACCTTGTATTGAAAAACAAACAAGCAAGCAAATGAATGAATGAATGAATGAATGAATGAGGACAACAGAACCCACCCAGAGGGTTGTTGAAAGAATTTGATAATTCAAGTGTTCCCAAATACTCAATCGCTCGCTGCTTGGGTAGGCATTCGGTAAGACTTCAGTGGGGCAATCAATGTGTACTTACCCAGTGGCAGGCCTGCTCCAAACCACCATGCAATCTTCAGAGCAGCCTAACAGGAGGCTGGTGCTTCCCTCCAGTCCTTCCTCAGCAACAAAAGAGCAGCACACCCATTAGACACTCTCTAGTTCCCATAGAAGGTGCTGGAAGAAATGGGTTTGCATCCCATTGGATGGCTTCTCCTTAACCACTAGGTTGGAGGTAGGTGTGTGTGTGTGTGTGTGTGTGTGTGTGTGTGCACTCTTTCCCCCTGCCCCACCCCTCTAAAGCCAGTATCTTTTGCCCTAGTCTTAGGAGAGTCTCCTGGTACACAGAGAGAAAAGACAGACACATTTTTGTCTATTCTGGTCTTGGCGAACTGTGTGTCCCCTGCCCCTCTGCCTACAGGGGGTTTCCTTTGACCTGAAGGACAAGTGCATGATCCCTATTTAGGCCTCCAGGGAGGGGCCATGGACGTGTGTATGCTCGACCACAAGTGCGCGCGCACACACACACACACACCACCCCGCATTTGATTCCATTTTCCCAGTAGTGAACATGAAGCACAAGCCCCCCACTGCTTGTCCCAAGCTGACGCCTGATTGTTCTGCATTTGTGATGCAAAGCCAATTTTCCTAAATGAATTGTGACCAATCACAGGCCTGGCCTGCTTTCCTCCCTTCCTGTTTGTCTCACCTCCCAAGGTGCTGTTCTTTCCAGCGACACAGGCTTTTCTTTCCACCATGCCATGTGGGGGAGGAGGTGGCCACCAGCTTAGCCTAGCTGTATGCTCTAAAGAGTCTGCTCTGTTCTGCTAAGGGTGTGAGCCTGCGAAGAGCCTACAGGATGCTTAGAGCCCTGGGCTTGGCATTACCACCCCTCCCCCCACCACACACCCCCAAAGGCCCAAACGTCCTGGATGCCTCTGTGTCTCCAGTGGGGCTCCTGGGGCAGTGGTGGCTTTGAGGCAGAGCTGGCCTGGTTTGTGCTTTCGCCTCAGCCTGTATGTAGTGCATTGAAGCTTCGTCATGGGAGAGGACTGAAGCCAATCTGAGCCAGAGTGGGAGACATGGGCAGATCTAGTGGGGGGTGTCCTTGCCTCTGGACCACTGGCCAGATGGGAAAACTGTGGGCTCTGGAGACCTTGTATGAGTGGCAGTGCAGGTCCCCAGGATGAGGTGTTCATGGCACTGTCCCTCCACAGGTGTTGACTCTGCTGGCCAGGTGCTCCCAGACTCCTACCCATCAGCACCCGCAGAGCAGCTGCCTTACTTCCTGCTGGAGCCACAGGACGCCTACATCGTAAAGAACAAGCCCGTGGAACTACGCTGCCGAGCCTTCCCCGCCACGCAGATCTACTTCAAGTGTAACGGCGAGTGGGTCAGCCAGAACGACCACATCACACAGGAGAGCCTGGATGAGGCCACAGGTGAGGATGCCACAGAGCCACGATGCCCCCTGGGCCTCAGGGTACCCTGGGTCCCCCAGGTGTTGGCTACAAGCCCCAGTAGGGGCTCTCCCACTCTCCCACACAGTTGGTCAGTCTTGCAGTTGTGCACCAGACAAGACAACACCGGAGGCGGTGTCTTTCCATAGCTTTCCTTTAGGGGAAGACCATACCGTTTCCCAGTTACATTCATGGTGTGTTTCCTTGACAGAGTTGTTCTTGGTATAAGAGCAAAGATTCACACGTGGCCCTTGTCAATACACTTGGGACCAGGAGGATTTCAGATTTCAGAATTGTTTTGGACTTTGAATTTGCTCAGATTCTGAATCAGATAATCCCTCCTACCTTTAAAAAAAAAAAAGGAAAAAAGAAAAAAAGAAAAGAAAAACAAAAAACCAAAGCCATAACATTTAAAATGTTTCAAACCCTGCAATTTCTGCAGCATTCTATCAATGATGAGTTTTGGTTTTGGGCCTTGTGGTATACAGTTATGGTCTCAGCTGCTCGGGAGGCTGAGGCAGGAGGATGACAGGTTCAAATTTCTTTTGGGACCCTGTCTCAAAATAAAGTAAGAGAGTCTCTGGGGCTGCAGGTCAGCGGCAGAGTGCTTGGCAGTATTCACACGGCCCTGGGTTCAGTCCCTTATGTGGCATAAAGTGGAGTGTCAAGATGGCTCTGTGGGTTAAAGTACCTGTCGTACAACCTGAGTTCAGTCTCTGGCCCCACAAAGTAGAACTGACTCCAGAAAAGTGTCCTCTGGCTTCCAGATGTGTTGTGGCACACGCGTGCACACATACACAAATGCACACACACACACACACACATACACTTTTGAGTCTCTCCTGCTTTCTTATGACCCCTCCCCCCTTTTCTGTCCTTCATTTTCTGCTTTGCCTTGAAAAGCCCCGATTTCAGGCCCACCTAGATAGACGGGAAGCCACACCCCAGCCAGCTCAGAACCAGCTCGGCCGCAGGTGTGAGCTTGGTGCTGGGGGTTCTGAAATAAAAAAAGACTTGAAACTCCATTCTCATCTACAGTCTGATAAATAAAAAAATTAGAAGTAAAAAAAGCAAGCCCGACCGAACTAGTCAGTGTTGATACTGGCCCGTCATCCCCAGGACACAGTAAGACCCTCTCTTAACTAAACCAGAAGAGAACAACCTAATCCACCATCCTGGCTTTATCACTCTGGCTGTGTGACGGTGAGGCAGTCATACAACCTCTCTGGGCCCCCACGTCCTTCCTTCTGTTAGCAAGAGGTCCCAGTGGGGAGGCCATAAGATGGCACATGCACAGTGCCAGCCAGGCAGAGAACTAGGACCCTCTGGGCCCTGTCAAACACTTCTGTATTCTTTATGGATTGTTCTGGCCTCTTCTTTGGCCTGTGAGTCCCTTCTCCCAGTGAGGGCCAGCCATGAGTTTTAGTCCAAGTAAGAAACAGTTTGCCCCTGGGATCTGGGGCTGTTGTCCCCATTAACTGTGTATAGTGACAGTGGTTCCCACAGCCCATGCATGTGAGGACAGCGGTGACAAGGATGAGACAGTCCTACTTGCCCCACCTGCCTGGACTAGCAGGTAGTCATCCTGCTGGTAACTGGAAGCACCCTGGGCATAGAGGGGGCAGAAGAGTTCCAGACAGGAGACAGTGTACAGTGGCCCGTGGCTACTTGAGGAGGTCTGGCGTCTGTGTGGAGGACTTGGGTAGTGAATGGGTTTAAAGGCCTAAAAGGCAGGCTTTGGTTTTTGCCCCGGGGAATGGCCGTAGATCACGCAGATGGAAGCCAGTGGGACTCTTGGCTCGGGTAGAAGGGGGGCGGTTTCTTCCCTCGTCACTAAAGGCCTATCCTCTCCTGGCCAGGCTTGCGGGTGCGAGAGGTGCAGATCGAGGTGTCCCGGCAGCAAGTGGAGGAGCTCTTCGGGCTCGAGGACTACTGGTGCCAGTGCGTGGCCTGGAGCTCTTCAGGAACCACCAAGAGTCGCCGAGCCTACATCCGCATTGCCTGTATGCCTCCCTGATTATCCCACCCCACTTCCCCACTGAGGTCAGAGAAATGCCCTCCCCACGGTATGCCAGACAACATGGCCTCCTAGACCCAGGGGCCAAGCCTCCTCAGGCTCCCGGGGTTTCCAGCAGCCCTTGTCACCTCTGAAAGGAAGCTGGACGATTCCAGGAGAGGTCCCAGGGTCAGGGAGGGGGACCCTGTTTCTGTAGGTGAAGGGATCCCTGTAAACAGTTCCTTAGGTGTGCCCTGCCCCCTAGTGGCCACAGTGGGCATTTCATGCTTACATCCGCCATCCCTTGATATTCTTGGAACTCTTCTCCTCAGATTTGCGCAAGAATTTTGACCAGGAGCCTCTGGCCAAGGAGGTACCCTTGGATCATGAGGTCCTTCTGCAGTGCCGCCCACCCGAGGGAGTGCCTGTGGCTGAGGTGAGGAGGGGGCGTGGCCAGCCAGGTAGGGTATTTACCGGCCGCCACGGACTTACTGTGGTCCTGCCTGTCCTTCTGAACCCCATTCACACCAGACCCCGCCCATCCCTCCGTAGGTACAACCTCACGGGAAGGGTCTTGGTCTCTGACTCCCCTAATTGACATAGATCCAAGAAACCATAGATACCACTGGATTTCAGTGGGTGTGTCCAGGCGTCATCCACTCCATCAGCTGGAGACCACCTTCCTTTCCTTCCCCTCCCCCCACCCTGCACTGGTCTAGGCGTTCAGGGGAACATGTAGCCTTGTACCAAAGGACAGGCCTCTCATTCAGAGCTCAGCTGCGGGCCTTTAAACTTGGTCACCTGGTCTCTTCTGCTTGTGCCCTCTAGACAGTGGGTAAGGTGGGCACCTGAGTGGCGGTTGCCACCTGTTGGGCTTTGATCTCCTCAGCAGCCCTGCAGTGTGAGCACGGCCACCATTTAGAGATGAGAGGGACTGGGGTAGCCACCTAGGTTATGAATGCGGGTGGGTAGCAGAGCTAAGGACTGGACCCAGGGTCCTGCTGCTCTTAGGAACGTAGGGAGGGCCAGACACTAGCAGCCTATGCTTGCTGGGTATCTCTCTGAGCCCAGCAGGTCACATTCATCAGAGCCCCGTGGGGTGGGTGCTGTTCAGGTTCCATCTTACAGTTGGTAAAGCTGAGGCCCTGGCTCTCCTAAGATCCTCAGCTGGTAAATGATGCTCCCCTCGGCGGAGCTGATACCTGTTGCTGCCAGGCGTGAACCTAATCATAGGCGTGGACACAGGCGGGACCCCTCCATCCCTCTGCAGGAGGCCCATCCCCAGTGTCAGTTGGCAGACAGTGAGTGCTCACTGACCCCCTCCACAGGTGGAATGGCTCAAGAATGAAGATGTCATCGACCCCGCTCAGGACACTAACTTCCTGCTCACCATTGATCACAACCTCATCATCCGCCAGGCCCGCCTCTCAGACACGGCCAACTACACCTGCGTGGCCAAGAATATTGTGGCCAAGCGCCGGAGCACCACGGCCACTGTCATCGTCTATGGTACGGATGGGTGTTTGCTGGCATGTGCTGCGGTTATCCTGGATGCCCCCTGGTGGGAGCTCTTGGGTTCTGTAGGGAGGCCTGAAGCAACACACCTCCCCATCCCCATCCCCATCCCCTCCAGGAGGCCCCCTACACTGTATGGAGAGGCAATCTAGAAAGAGGTGGCCAGCCAGGAGCACTGCCTACTTCTCAGGACCCCTTAGCCCTCTCTTCTTCTTCTTCTTCTTCTTTTTTTTTTTTTTTTCGAGACAGGGTTTCTCTGTGTAGCCCTGGCTGTCCTGGAACTCACTCTGTAGACCAGGCTGGCCTCGAACTCAGAAATCCGCCTGCCTCTGCTTCCTAAGTACTGGGATTAAAGGTGTGCGTCACCACTGCCCGGCTAGCCCTCTCTTTAAAAAAAGACCCAATTCTCCTGAGTTAGCCCCAAGGCAGAGTCACAGCCCCAGACAGCCAAGTCATTTGTCCCCGTGGAGGTAAAGATGCTATCCCGGCCTGCATGCTGCTGTTTCTCTGGGCCCAAGGACAGAGGGGAAAACCACAGTGGAGGCAGATAAAATTTAGTCAGGAGTCCTCTCCTCAGATTTAGTCCCAGGTCAAATCCCAGGTACCCCATCACACACAGGGTGGCCCTGGTTAGGTACTACCCTCTACCAAGTACCCTGTCACACACTGGGTGACCCTGGTTAGGTGCCAGTTCACTGCATCACTGCACTATAGGCCAAGATGACAGTGGCTTCCTAGGCATTCTCAACTGCCAACAGTGGTATCTCAGTGTCCAGCCCCACAGGTGAATGGTCCCCACCAGAGTGTCTGGGTTAGTAAAGGTGGGTGACGGGCTGAAGATAACCTGGAGGCAGCCAGGTCCACGGTAATCATGTGATGGCCCATCCCTACAGTGAATGGAGGCTGGTCCAGCTGGGCAGAGTGGTCACCCTGCTCTAATCGCTGCGGCCGAGGCTGGCAGAAGCGCACGCGGACCTGCACCAACCCAGCCCCACTCAATGGAGGCGCCTTCTGTGAGGGGCAGGCCTTCCAGAAGACAGCTTGCACTACCGTGTGCCCAGGTAAGAACCACAAGGCCACTCACGCTCTTCTGCTTACGGGATATGTATAGAGTTGGCACGGTACCTTCTCCCAGTAGCAAAGTGTACAGAGCCCAGGTCCTCGGGGTACTCTGTGATCTCTAGTTTCTGATTCTGTCCCAGGCTGCTTGAGAGCTGGGATCAGAGGCAGTGAACTGCAGCTGACAGGGCTGAGCCTGGCATAGGAGCTGCTGGGGTCCCAGAGAGCTCCCTGCGTGTCTCTGTGGAAATGCCCGTTGGCTACAGACCCTCATCCCCTCAGCAGCCTCGTCCCTGACTGTCTTGCCCTGGTTTTGGGTTCTGCCCTTCTATGCCTGTGTTCTGGTTGTATGCGTGACCAAGTAACTGTTTTCTCGAACAGGTCTCTCTTTGTGCCAGTAACCTTGAATATCTTTCCTCTACTGAAAGCATCTAACTGGCCCCAGCCTGTGGCTGTGTGGATATGATTGGCGGGCGTGGGTGGGTGCGTGCGTACGTAGTGCGTGCATGCATGTTTATTGTTTCCGTGTTCCCGCTTGAATGCGTAACTGCGTGTCCGTGCCTGTGCTGTGCTCCTGCAGTGGATGGAGCGTGGACCGAGTGGAGCAAGTGGTCAGCCTGCAGCACAGAGTGTGCGCACTGGCGTAGCCGTGAGTGCATGGCACCGCCACCCCAGAACGGAGGCCGCGATTGCAGCGGGACGCTACTTGACTCCAAGAACTGCACCGATGGGCTGTGCGTGCTGAGTGAGTGCTCTGGAGTCGGGTGGCAGGCCCCTCTGCCCTGGCCCAGCCTGGGGCCACTGTGCTCACCCTGAGCAGAGCAGCCATAGGGCCTCTGTCCGGCCCCCACGCCCGCCCTGCATCTCATCCATGCCACGCCCCCATCACCTGCTCGGCCACCCTTTCTCTGTCACCTGGGTCATCGTCTTTCCCTTTATTTCCCTTGACAGATCAGAGAATTCTAAACGACCCTAAAAGCCACCGTAAGTCCCATTTCATGCCTCTCTTCTTTCTTTGGGGATTCCTGGCTCTCCTTGGCTGGCTTTCCATGGGCGTGGGGTCCAAGGCAGAGAGAGTTGATGTAGTTTCCTACCGGTACAACTCCGTAGGATCCCTGCACATCATGCATGTTGCCACATTTCTGTCACAGAGAGACAATGAGACTCTTGGATGGCAGAAAGGCCCCGGACTCCCCCTTACACTCCTGTTACAGAACAGGAAGCTGAGTCTCAGAGGAGGAAGAAACCTGTCCAAGAAACCAACCAGGGAGTAGCACAGCCAGGACTTGAACCCAGATATTTTTGTGGCCAAAGCAAGTAGTCTTAATCTTTGTCCCTTTTCCCTGGGACATGCTGAGAGACAGTGCTATGCCCCACACTGTCCCTAGCAGTTGGGGCACACCTCCCAACTTAACTCTGGTCTGAGTGCTGCTGCCCCGAGTTAGCTCCCAAAGGACTCCCCTCCCACCCCAAGGACCCTTACCCCTGTGGCAGCAATATCAGGCCAACACAGCCTCTCCTTCAGACCAGCCTGTGGTAATTAAAGAACAATTTCCAGATCATTCTGGAATCACAAAATCTTCAGGGAAGTCTTCAGCTCCCTGAGAGGCCAGGCCCGGGGCTGATTTAAAGACTATAAATCACCAAGCAAGCGGCCCCCAGTGTGAATGTGGCCATAGAGTGTAGAGTCAAGCTTAGGGAAGAGCCTGTTCCTGCTGGAACGGGAGCCTGTGGAGAAGTGGGAGCCCAGCCCTGAGGAAGAGTCGGTAGCACCTCCCGGGTTGCCAGGATGCTGGGTCGGAGGTGCCCTAGTGAGATTGTTGAGATGAGATAGAGAGACAGGTTCCCAGAGTAGGAAGCCGTGGGCTTCCGTGCTACGAGGCGTGGGTGTGGGCTCACCCAAGGGTGCGGAAGGCCAGGCTGGACTCAGGCTACCTCTCCCAGAGTTCCTTGTTTTTAATGAAGCACCGGTGCTTCTTAGCGCTCCCGTAAAAGAAGTTAGGTCAAAGAGCAGCTGTCGGGTGGGTGGCCTCCGTCTTGCTGTGCCTGAGCTGGCGGGTGTGCTAGTCACTGACCCCGGGTGGCTTTTAAAATTCGTATTTCACATAATTGAAACTAAGTTCATTAGGAAACACAGCTCCTCAGTTGTACAGGTCACATCTTAGTCTTCAGTAGCCACACAGATCTACTTGAGCATACCTAGAATGAAGGGGACAGGATATTTCCATCCTTCTAGAATGAGCTGTGGACCCCACACAGTCCTCCTGCCTGGCAGCTCATAGTTATTTGCAGCCGCAGCCCCCTGCTGGAGGAAGACGGTATTGCTGCGCTGTGGCCTCCCCGGGTCTCATCTTTCTTTCCGGCATCTGTTCACCACCTCTCCATCCATTGCTCTGCCTCTCACCTCGCTCCTCCCCACGCCCCCGCTGCACCTGCCGTCAGATGCATAGCGAAGAGACTGCCTAAGATGGTTTCAGGGAGCCAGGGCATTTGGTTACACGGAAGTTGTAGGCTTGAAGCAAAGCTTTGTCGTGTAGGTAGAATCGTGTGCCCTCAGGTTTCCAAGCCTCACACCCCTCTGAGCTTGTGAATCAGACCTACTGGTTCTGTTACCTTCCGTACTGTACCGGGAATGTGGGCAACAGGGTATGGACTTCGTGACAACTTACTAAGGAAGAGATGGGTTCGAGGGTTGTGAGACTTGCCTGAGATCACCAATCTGCCTTGGCAGGTGGAGCCTAGAATCTAGATTTTTCCTTGCTACCCCAAAGGGCCTGCCCCTCACCTAACCCTACTGCATCCACAGCCCTGGAACCCTCGGGAGACGTGGCGCTGTATGCAGGCCTCGTGGTGGCCATCTTTGTGGTGGTAGCGGTTCTCATGGCCGTGGGAGTGATCGTGTACCGGAGAAACTGCCGGGACTTCGACACAGACATCACTGACTCCTCCGCGGCCCTCACTGGTGGTTTCCACCCAGTCAACTTCAAGACTGCAAGGCCCAGTAAGGACCTGGAGAAGCCTGCTGTGGCAGTAATGGCTGGGGGACCCCAGAGCATTGCAGCTGTCACCAGAGCTGGGGCACTTCCCCATTTGCCCGAGTTTCCTGCAGCACGTGGCAGTTGAGCCTTCTGTGGCTAGACGTGTGGGTGGGGCAGAGGCCTGAAGGGAACAGAGTGGGCAGAGCCAATGTGGTGAGGAGTGGGAACGGTGGTTCTGACCGTCACGTCCACCCCTGCAGGCAACCCGCAGCTCCTGCACCCGTCCGCCCCGCCGGACCTGACGGCCAGTGCTGGCATCTACCGCGGGCCTGTGTATGCCCTGCAGGACTCTGCTGACAAGATCCCCATGACTAATTCGCCCCTGCTGGATCCCCTGCCCAGCCTCAAGATCAAGGTCTATAACTCCAGCACCCTCGGCTCTGGGTCTGGCCTTGCTGATGGAGCCGACCTGCTGGGTGTCCTACCGCCCGGCACATACCCGGGCGATTTCTCCCGGGACACCCAATTCCTGCACCTGCACAGTGCCAGCCTTGGTTCCCACCATCTCCTGGGCCTACCTCGAGACCCCGGCAGCAGCGTCAGCGGCACCTTTGGTTGCCTGGGAGGGAGGCTGAGCATTCCCGGCACAGGTGGGCCTCCGGTTCCATTGCTCAGATGGGAAGTTAAAGCTTGGGGCAGATTATACATAGAACAGTCTGGTAGAAGACCTGAGATCAGGACTCCTGGACCTCTCTAGGCCAGGAAGTCTTGGGTCAGCCACTTGGCAGGGTCTCACTTCTGTTTAGGTTGGGAGAATGGTTCTCATCTTGAGTCCCACAGAGCAGTCCTGGTTTTAAAGAACAGCAGGGCCAGGATGTCCATCTCAAGCTTGTGAAAGTGGCAGCTGGCAGCTTTTCAGAGTCCTGTCCTGAGCCAGCATGAAGCTAGCACTTTAGGCTTCTGACACCCTCTCCCTTCCCCCAGAAATGTTGGAGGCCCCTGTATTTCTGGGCACATCAGGCCAAGTGGCCTGGGTGCTTCTCCCCCAGACACCCCCTAGAGTCTTTCCCTTCCCTAAGGTGGAGCCAGAGCCTATCCCATCCTTCTCATCTCTGCTACCCCCTTCCCCCTTCCTGACGACCTTCCTTTCTCCCTAGGGGTCAGCCTGTTGGTACCAAATGGAGCCATCCCCCAGGGCAAGTTCTATGACTTGTATCTACATATCAACAAGGCCGAAAGCACCCTGTGAGTAGACCTGGCCAGCCAGCGCCCCCTCCTGCCCTGCTCACACTGGGCACGCACGCTTCCGTTTGCCACTTAGATCTTGGTCCTAATGCCCAGGGTCCCCCAGAGAAAGCATGTCCTGAGGGGTAAAACGTAGCAACAGCAAACCTTTCCTATGTAAAGGGGATTTATAAACAACCGGATTGCGTATGTCCTGATTGCTGTAGCAAAAGCATGCTAAGAACTTAAGGAGGTGGGGGTTGTTTGGACTCGCCATGGTGAGATGCCCTCTACCTGCGGTCACAGGAAAGTGAAGCATCCATAGGTGAGAAGCAGAGAGGGATGAGCACTGGTGTCCTAGGCTCCCCTCGCCTTCCCTTTCTTTGTCGCTCAGTCTGGGTCCCCAGCCCACATGTTATGCTGCCCACATACAGATCGGGTCTTCCCTCCTACTTAAACCTCTCTGGGAACATCCTCACAGACAAGCATGTCAGGGATGCGTCCCCTCGGTGACCTCACACCCAGTTGACAGCAAAGATCACGGCTGCAGAGAAAAACTGACCACCTCAGTTTGAATATGGGCGTAGAAGGTGAAGGAAGTAATTGACACACACACACACCAGACACTCAGACACACACCAAGTAGTTTTATTATTGAATTTTCAAGATGGGTGTCTCACTTTAGTCCTGGCTGTCCTGGAACTCACTCTGTAGAGCAGGCCGCCCTTGAACTCAGACATCCGCCTGTCTCTGCCTCCCCAAGTGCTGGGATTCACGGCATGCACCACTAAGCCCAGCCTCAAATAGTTTTGTTTTGTTCTGTTGTTTTGTTTTAAAGAAAGGAAAGAAAAAGACAGTGTTCTATATAAAGCCTCAGACCTTGAGGCTGTGCAAAGCTTTGGCCGAGACTGTTTTGCTGTGACAGCAAAAACCTAGAACTTTCTTTATTCGGCTTATGCCATATCTTCCTTCCCATCCCTGTGAGGTCAGGTTGCAGCCCGCAAAGGGCAGAGACTTGCCTTGGCACGGGCCCTGGGTGGACTTGGGGGTTCCACAAGAGTCAGATCCCTCATGAATGAGTGCTTCTTGCCTCTGTCTCTACCTCTCTCTCAGCCCACTTTCGGAAGGTTCCCAGACAGTATTGAGCCCCTCAGTGACCTGCGGGCCCACAGGCCTCCTCCTGTGCCGCCCTGTCGTCCTCACTGTGCCCCACTGTGCTGAAGTCATCGCGGGAGACTGGATCTTTCAGCTCAAGACCCAGGCCCATCAGGGTCACTGGGAGGTGAGGTGCCCGGTGTGGTGACTGACTCTCAGAACTGCCCAGCAATGGATTGATCCCAGCCCAGATGACAACATCCTCTTCGTCCCCTGCAGGAGGTGGTGACCTTGGATGAGGAGACCCTGAACACCCCTTGCTACTGCCAGCTGGAGGCTAAGTCCTGCCACATCCTGCTGGACCAGCTGGGTACCTACGTGTTCACGGGCGAGTCCTACTCCCGCTCGGCCATCAAGCGGCTCCAGCTGGCCATCTTCGCCCCAGCCCTCTGCACCTCCCTGGAGTATAGCCTCAGGGTCTACTGTCTGGAGGACACACCTGTAGCACTGAAGGTAGGGGCGTGTCAGAGCTCGGCAGCCATCAGCACAGCAGACAGTTGTTAGAACCCTCCCCGGATGCATGGTCCCTGCTGGGCTTCTGTCTGGCACCTGCCTCAGTCAGTCATCACTCTTCTGCATCAAACGTCAGGACACCGGACTCTCAGACAGGGATGGAGGCCATAACTTCTAGCTCTGGACAGGAGGTAGGAGACAAGCAGGGCAAGTCTTTGAGAAGTCCGAAAGAGAATGGACCTCAGACCTAAGCTCTGTGTGGCGAGTTGTCACTCTGGGCAGAGAAGAGGAAGGGCATTCCAGACCAGCAGAACGACTTTCTGCCAAGATGGGTGTGCGACTCAGCATTGTGAGCAGTGTAGGGTGCGTGTGTTTGTGTGTAATCCTGTGAGAGAGAGAGGGGCGGGGGCTGGAGAGGTGGGCAGCTTACTAGCAAATCCAGGTCATGCCTAGCAATTAGGATGCTGTCCGGTGGTAAGAGACCCAGATATGACAGACACCTGTTCACAAGTACTCTGTAGAATTCCCCACAGCTGTGGGGTGTGTGTGTGTGTGTGTAACAGCATTGGTGAACATGAGGCAGAGGCCAGTTGTGAAACTGTGAGTTAGCCCTAGATAGCAGGTAGTGGCAGTGACCAGGAGATGAGACTAGACCTTGTGGTTGGTCAGTAGGATGGACAGACCAGGAACTGGTGGGATGAGCTAGGAAAGCCAGGGCTTCTAGCAAACACAAAAGAAAGGGCAGTGGAGACCAGAAGTGAGGGAGAGGCAGGGGAGAGGATGGGCAGAGATGGGGGGGGTGCTAATACTGGCTGATGTGGAGCCCAATGAAGGCACCACCTGTCTGTCATACATGCCTCAGAGCCACTGCCCCTTCCTTCCCCAACCCTGTCTCAGTCCCAGGTCCCTGGTCTCATCCTGGTGTGATATGGAGAATACAGGGTTGGCTCTCTCCTCCACCCTTCCTGCAGCCCTCTGAGAAGCCTCAGAGTTCTTTCTGGTGGACCAGTGTCTCCTCAGTCTCTGAGAAATGGTCTCTCCTAGTCACTATGTCTCTTGAGTCTCATGTGGCTTTCTCAGGCTGCATGCTGGGGACTGATGCAACCCAGATGAAAAGGCCCTGTGGGAGAAGGACATCCCCTGTGGGGACCGTACTAACCTGACATTCCAGGAGGCCTCCAAAGGAGGGGGGGGGGGAGTGGGCACTGCTGGGAATTTCTTCCAGCCGGATCTCGTGGCTCTGGTGTTGGCCGGTGTTCCATGTTAGCCAGAGAGTGGTGTGAATATCAACAGGAGAGTTGGCACACTCTGGCCCGATTGTGTTCTTTACTTGTTCAAGCCCCGTCTATTCTAAGTCCCGTCCACCCACCCTCTACCTTTTCATTATGGTAATACATAATACACCTGTGCAGTAAACAGCCTGTGTGTTCATCTAGCTTTTATCTATCTCTTCACTCATGTCTTTCCTTCAAATACTCTTCTATTCATATACCTGTCATTTGTGTATCTATCGGTTTATGTTTTCCCACACATCCATCCAATGATCCAACCATCCATCATCCATGTTACGGTAGTTGGCTAATCTGAATTCATTTCTCTGGTGGGTAGTGAGGAACTCACCCCAGTGTTCTGGATTCTCACATGAAAGACACACATAGCCTTATATTTAATGTGCCTTAAGTAGCTCAATGGTTGGGCACTTCCAAACCTCCCAGCGGCTAACCCACTTTCCCCTCTGATATTCCTGAATTACTACTTTCTAAAACCTATATCCCATCTTGGCCTCCCCAGCCCAGACCTATAGCCCCCTGGGCCATGGTCCCCGACTCTCACATGTTGGCTGTCTCTCTGTCTTGTACTTCTCACGCCTGATCCTTCTGCTTCCCCAGTATGGTGGTTCTGCCTCCTCTCTTTCCCGTGTCTAATCCTAAAAGTGCCGCCTCTGTCTCACTGCACAATGCGGCCGGTAACTTTATTTACCAATCAAACCCAACTGGGGGGGGGGGCGGACCCTCAGCATCCTGCATGTAGATGCGCAAATTCCTGTGTAATTTCAGGAACCCAATTAACATACAAGCAACAAACCAAGTCCGCAACACCATCATCCATCCATCCATCCATCCATCCATCCATCTGTCCATCATCTACCCATTCACCTGTCAGCTATCTGTCATCCATCCACCCATCCATTCAACCATCATCCACCCATCTATCAATCCATCCACCCATCCATCATCTGTCCACCTATCCATCTAACCATCATCCATCCATCATCTTCGTGTTCCCCTATCCTTCCAGCAGACCTCTGTCAGTATCCTAGCTAACCCATCTATACACGTATCTAAGTCTCCTTCCAAGCTCGTGTTCCCACACATATGTTCTCTTTGTGTATCTGCCTATCCCCCTGTCCACCCAGGTATCATCCATACAGTTTATTATCTGCTCATCTACTTAGCCAGCCCATCAGTTCATCTATCTATCCAGCTACCTGTAAATCCATTCATAAATCCCACCCATCCATCCACCTGTTCATCTGTCTGTCCACTTAATCTATGCCATTCGTCAGTCTGTCTATCTATCTATCTGTCTGTCTGTCTGTCTGTCTGTCGTCTGTCTATCTACCTATCATCTATCCATCCACCTACCCACACATTTTCCATTCATCCACTGGTGTATCTGCCCAGCCATTCATCTGAAACACCTTCTTAACTAGATCAGACAGGTCTGGCCCCAAACCAGCAACTTGAAATATAAAAGAGCCTTAGGCCAAGGGTGACAGGTCTCTCTCTCCCTCCGCCCCACCCACAGGAGGTCCTGGAGCTGGAGAGGACTCTGGGTGGCTACTTGGTGGAGGAGCCCAAGCCTTTGCTCTTTAAGGACAGTTACCACAACCTACGCCTCTCCCTCCATGACATCCCCCATGCCCACTGGAGGAGCAAACTACTGGCCAAGTACCAGGTGAGCACTGGGCCTGGGGAGGGGATGCAGGGGAAACCACTACTCCATCCTTTGTAGTGAAGCCCTGTCTCCCAGGTCTCTTGTCCCTGTCCTATCTCCCCACTTTACCATTCTCCATGTTCCCAGCCATCTTCAGGCCCAAGCTTAAATTCTCAGCCATGAACAGCCACACCATTGTCCCCTTTTGCACCTCCCCCATCACTGCCACACTCCCCTTCAGCCCCTTTATACTGCAAGTTGTTGGTCTGGCGCCACACCCGTCGGAACAAATGCAAGCCTGCAGAGTGATCTGCTGGTCGCTGGCACTCAAGTCCCTCTGCTCTGTCTTGTAGCGTATGACACCACTGAGGCCCAACGTTTGCCAGCTTCTGTATTTATGCACATTCAAACTTCTGTCTGCCCCCTCCCACACAGGCCCGCTTCTCCACTCTCTCCCACAACCAAGACATCAACGCCATTTAGCTACCCAGCTTTCCCTACTCTATTTCATAGAGAGACTTCAGCTGCCCCCAGAGCCCAGCCCTCTCTAAGGCTGGGCCCCACCCACTTCGCGCAAGTGCCCAGTCTGACCTGTAACCCTGACCACCTTTCCTGCAGGAGATTCCCTTCTACCATGTCTGGAACGGCAGCCAGAAAGCCCTGCACTGCACTTTCACCCTGGAGAGGCATAGCCTGGCCTCCACTGAGTTCACCTGTAAGGTCTGCGTTCGGCAGGTGGAAGGCGAAGGCCAGATTTTCCAGTTGCACACAACGCTGGCCGAGGTGAGGGTCAGCGATACCCCGGGGGGCTGAGGCTCTGACACACAGCACCTCACTCCCCAGCATCTCCCGAATCACAACAGGTCACCTAGAGTGACCAACAGTCACCTACTGATTACTATTCACATGACATATATTACTGTAGTGAGGTATCACGCCCATGGGAGACAGTTATAATGGCCCTCATGTGGAAGATGAGAGTCTCGAGGGCTGGAGCCATAGCTCACTTGGTAGCGTAGCGTGTATGGTGCCTTTGTCTCCACCACCAAATAAAACCAGGGGTGATGCTACATACTCGTAACCCCAGTACTTGGGGTGTAGAGGCAGGAGAATCATATCAGAAGTTCAAGGTTGTCCTCGGCTACATTGTAAATTTGAGACAGCCTGGGCTACATGACACCCTGTCTCAAAAAACAAAAGGTCAGCGAGGGGAGTATCAGTATTATACATGGCCACCAGGCAAGGCTGGATTTAACCTGGTCAAGGTAACCTGTGGCTGCCAACCACTAAATCCAAACAAAGCCGTAGAGAATGCCCAGCCCCCTAAGCTGACCGTTGTAATAAAACACTCCCCACAGGTTCCGAGACAACTCTGCCCTAGGCAGGTCGCCTGTGTGCTCTAGACTGTTCCCCACGCAGATCAAAGCTGATCTTCATGGGCTAGGCCACGGTTGTGAGGTGGTGACTCCTGTGACTTCTGTATCCCGAGGCTGAGTCAGCATGTGTCCAAGGTTGATCCCGAGCAAGATCACACCTGACTGATGGGACACTGAGAAGTGGGCAGCTAGAGAGAACCCAGAGGAGACGAGGATGAGCATAGAGCCCAGTGCATCATGGGTACTGGACAAGCACTCTACCAATTAAGCTACAGCTTCAGCCCTTAAGCCCCTACCCAGGCAGGCAGACTGGGTGAGCTGTGTAGGGCTGAGGTTATCTCACTCTTGTCCCCGCCCTTCCAGACGCCTGCTGGCTCCCTGGATGCTCTCTGCTCTGCCCCTGGCAGTGCTGCCACCACCCAGCTGGGACCCTATGCCTTCAAGATACCACTGTCCATCCGCCAGAAGATATGCAACAGCCTCGACGCCCCCAACTCACGGGGCAACGACTGGCGGCTGTTGGCGCAGAAGCTCTCCATGGACCGGTGAGTACCCCAAGCTTCGGTCACCCCTATAACCCCTCATCTTCAAGGTCTGGCACAGGCTAGCTCCCAGCTTGGCTTCCCTTCCATCTGTGACAGATCCACAGCTGGCTTCCAGGGCACCAAGTCTGGGATGGCTGTCTCCCTTCATATCCTTCCTCACCGTGTCCCTCTCAGAGAGCTGGCCTGCGAGCCAGGTGGGCTTTAAGTGACTGCCACCAGTCTCTTAAACTCAGCTCTTGTACGGTGTGAGAAAGCCAGGGATAGACCCAGCGCTGACACCAGGTGGACGTGGTCACCACCAGCGCTGAAAGCCAGATACACTCGGGAGCAGTGTTAAGTGATCACCTAATAGAAGCAGGTATAGAAGATGGCTTAGTCAGTGGAGGGCTTGCATGAGGACCGAGTCCCGTCCCCAGAGCCCGCGTGCATGCTGACACTCAGTGATAATCCCAGCACTGGGGAGACAGTCAGGAAGCTCCCTGGGATTTGCTAGCCAGCTACTCTAGTTGAATGATGAGAAACCTTGTCCCAAATACGGTGGGTAGTATTTCTAAGGATGATGCGTGAGATTGTCCTCTGAGCTACACACACACACACACACACACACACACACACAATTAATTTTTAAAAAGACATCTAATTACTATAAATGGAAAGAGCTTACAAAGATGGCCAGACACTTTGCTCCGACCCTCAGAGAAGCCCAGGCAGCAGGATCAGGCCCAGAGTGAAAGTGAGTGCCAGAGAAGAACATGGCATGCATGCTTGGAAGGTCTCTCAGGGTCCCGGCGTCTTTTGTTGATGGTGGTGGTGATGAAGAAGAGGAGAGGATGCTTTGGGTGAGCTTGGGCTTCGTCAGCTGTGTGAGGAGATGTGAGAATCAACCCCTCCTCTCCGTGGAGTTGTATCCAGCAGTTTACAGGAACCAAGATGGATCTTGGCCCACAGCTTCAGGGGCTTCTGTCCCTGCCCACTGCTGTGCATTAAACCTGAGCTGACCACTGTGGCAGGAGGCTGTGATGGAGCAGTCACCTAGACATAGACTGGAAGAGCCCAGGGCAAGACACACCCCAGTCTCATCCCACGGCGCCCCACCTTCCACAGGCCTAGCCCTGGCCAACAATGTATTTAGATGTTGCACACGCATGTATTTAGCATGTGTGTATATGCAGCACTCGCTGCATGGAGCATGTGTGAAGATCAGGAGATAACTTCCTGTCTCTTTGTTCTTCTGGCCTGTGTGTCAGGCTAGCTAGCCCAGAAGCTTGCAGGGATTCCCCTGTCTCTGCTCCCCATCTCCCCGAAGCGGAGTGCTCAAGGAACGGTGGGATTATAGGCGTAGGGTTTTCATGTTGACTGCAGGGATTTGAACTCAAGTCTACACGTTAACCCAAAGAACCATCCTGCCAGCCCTCATGCAGATTCTGAGTCCCTCTATGAGTTTGACTGTTGATGAAGGCAGACGCTCAGGATACATGGGCTTGCTTGGATACATGGGCTTGCTTGGAGCCCCACCTCTAAACCCTGCTAGTAGGAGATCAAAAGAAGGATGAGCGTACCGACTTGCCTAGGGCTGCAAAGCCTACAACTGGAGAATACAGGATTCCGTTGAATACTGTGGGACTCTGGAGCCCACAGTCTTTCCACCACCTGGGTCTTCCCAATTCACAGGCTGGTCACCTCAGGGGCGCCAACATTTCTGTTTCCCTCCGACAGGTACCTGAACTACTTTGCCACCAAAGCTAGTCCCACGGGCGTAATCTTGGACCTCTGGGAAGCCCGGCAGCAGGATGACGGGGACCTCAACAGCCTGGCCAGTGCCTTGGAGGAGATGGGCAAGAGTGAGATGCTGGTAGCCATGGCTACTGATGGCGATTGCTGAGTGCCTGTGACCACAGGCCTGTGGGGACCAGTAGGAGACGGTGCAAGGAGGCCTGGCAGCCTCTCCATGGGGGTGTCCAGCCTCCATCATCCCTGGCTCACAGCTGGAATGGTCCCTCACCCCCCCTCCCCGCTACAACCCTCAGACCACCACCAGCCTTAGAAAGTCTCTGTGCTCTACTGCCGGGAGGCCGGGACTCTCTGCCCCACCGTTTTCCCAGCTCACTCTTGGGTGGGCTGAGGCCTCTGGGGCAGCTGAAGGCCAGAGGCTTTCCTCCCCCACAACACACCACCCTCAGCCCTGTGACTTTGGGGACCCACAGGTTTCAATTCTGTGTTCACATGTCCTCGGCTAGGGACTGCTCTCCTGTCCCTGGTCCTCTTTGAAAGGTCGAGTTCAGGCAAACTGCTTTCTCCTGTCCACAAGCAGAAGAGAGAGAGAGAGAGAGAGAGAGAGAGAGAGAGAGAGAGAGAGAGAACACGCCTCGGAGGTCAGGCAATGAAAGCGCAAAAACAGTAAGGGCAAAGAAAGACCCAGTTTCTTAGGGAACGCAAATGATTTATTATCCAGATACTTGGATAGGTCCTTTTTAAGAAAAAACAAACAAACAAGCAAAAATAAGAAAAGAAAAAAAAAGAAAACTTTTATCCTTGACTGTGGCTAAGAGTGGCTATGCTTGTGTTTGGGACCATAGGCAAGTGCACCCGTGGCACATGTGTGCATGAGTGTGTGCGTACATGGGTGTGGTCGGTAAGAGACTGCACAGGGGAATGCTTTGCTATGGCAAGGCCTCAGTTTCCCCAGCTGCACAGGGAGCCGAGACAGAGTTTTCGCTATGGCACTGAGTTCTAAACTCACAAGCAGAAGCAGAGGCTTGGCGGTCCTCCCACTCTCCAGAGCCCCCAGCAGATGCCCTCCTGTGGCCTCCTCTGATGGTTTCTGATGGAGGCCCAGACCAGCTGTCATCCAGGAGACTGTTCAGGTCTGTTTTACTTTGGTGGTTCCTGGTCTCATGATGGCCAAAGCTCTTACTGAGAGGGAGTGGCTACTCCAGGGATGGTTCTCTCCCAGGTTGGGTGGCTTTGGGTTTAGGCTAGCACTAGCCAGTCTGCACCCATGTCCTCTAGCCCTCAGTTTACCCACTGATCTTCCTTCTGGAGTCAGGAGATATGAAGGTAACTTTTCTAAGTAGACAGTTGTACCCATTCTTGGCCACAACCCATTCTGGGATGTTCTACAGGGCCACCAGGGGAAGGGATGAATACGTGTCCCTTCAGCCTACAGACAGTGACAGAGACCAGGACGCCACTGTAGACATAGAGATCCTATTGAAAGATACTCACTTCCCTGAACTGCCATTGAGACCAGCCTGGCCAGGTCGTGAGCTTTGAAAGTTGGGACCTCTATGGGGAGGCAGGTTCATGACCACAGACCCAGCAAGCATGTATGCCCTGGTTTTTCTGCAGTGGCTCCTGAAGTGGAGCTCTGAGACTGAGAGCAAGGTGTCCCTGGCATCTAGGTGAACAGTACCTCATAGAGTAGCCTTCAGCTTCTCCTGCCAAAGATGCTCATCCCTGTGGGCATACTCTTCTGGTCCCTGTTAGCCCGCACATAGAAGGGGGAAGCCTGGAAGCCGAGTTGTAGCTGTGCTGTGTGACTTCAGGCATATAACTGCTTTCTCTGGACTTAAGTGTCCTTTTATCCTGGGATGCTCCGTGAGGCCCCTCGGGTTCCCACACTTGTCTGGGAGTCGAGTCGAGACAAGCTGATTGTGGTCTGCATGCTCTCCCCTTTGCCCATCCTCAGAAACCTGCCTGGTTGGGCCCTTAGTGAGCGAGTCCCAGTTTACAGTCCAGCTCTTAGAAGGTGCTCAGCATCTGGGGCACGGAGGCTGGAGCTGGAGCCTGGGGTGAGGCTTGAACCAGACAGTTTGATAGCAACAGCCCAGCCAACTCTGGGCTGAGCCAGGCAGGGCTGTTGGGTTGGGTTTCCACTCCTGCCTCCAATGAGATGGACCTCCCCTTCCCATTCCTGGCCAGCTTGGTGTTGCCGGGTCCTGCAGGGTATTTCTGTGTCATCTTGGGTGTATGAGTGTGTGTGTGTGTGTGTGTGTGTGTGTGTGTGTGTGTGTGTGTGTGTTGCGTGTTGCACCTGTGTGCGTGCATGCTTGTGCTTTACAACTTGGGCACATCAGGGCACCCCTCCCAGAACGCACACACCTGTCCCCACATGTGGACATGACCTCTGTGCCCAGGCCTGCCACTGGAGGTGGACATGCCTGTTTGCTGTCCCCGAGTCACAGTCGGTGTATCTCCTATGTGCCTCTCCAGCCCTTTCTCAATGGGGCCCAGGCTTCTGAGCTCCAGCCAGACACCTCCTGACAGGGGCCCTCCTCATCCCTGGATCTTCCAGGGCTCTCTGGTCCCCACCTTGAGGATCCCAGGCATCTGAGTCAGCACCTTCCTCTCACTCTCAGAGGTCAGGTGGGTGGGAGCATGGATGCCTGGGAGTGAACATGGCTGTGTGTCTGTGGGTTCTGATATGCTGGGGATGGTCCCAGCCCTGCCCGCTCATTCTGTAAACAACTTGTAAATAACCTTTAGCATTCCTCTTGTAATGAGATTAATTTTTATGAAATAAATTATATTTCCTAGTCTAATAAAAAAAATCCAGGTCCTGGTCTGATGTCTTCTCAGAAGTGTCTTTTAATGGCAGTTGGGAGTGTCCTGTTCTTTCTGTATTTACACAGCAGTTCAGAGCTCCAGCCCTTGATCCAGCTTGACAGCCCCATCCCACAGAAGAGGAAACGGGCTTTCTGACAGTTGCACAGCAAGTTAGGGCCCTGGATCTCACCTTGCTCACCAGCAAGGACTTAAAGCACAGAGCAGAGGCGGGGAGGGAGGGGATGAAAGAGTAAGACCGGCACCCACTGGCCCATTCAGTAGGATGTGCCCCAACTGAGGCTGAGTGGTCAGTTGGATGCTGTGCAAGCAGGAGGGGAGTGAGGACATTGGGAGTGTGTGGTTGGGTACCAGGGTGTGGCCAGGCTTATACCCCTGGCAAATATTCCATCTAAGGAGAGTGTCGTCATTCCCACACAGGTGACAGACAGCATTGTGTGCTTTGCAAGAATCTCCCTGTAGGTGGTACCTAGTAATGAAATCAATAGACCTGTGTCAGTTTTCCTGCCAGTGATCAAATCAGCAGGCGGAGGGGTGCATATTTTACTTTTCATGACTGATAGTTACCTCTGCTTAAGCTGGTTCCCATAAGCCTTGTGGACCATGTGAGTTGCAACTGGTTGGCAGTTCCCAGCCCCTGTGGCCTCCAGTCCCTTGAGTTTGGAGTGAGAGCCCTTGGCCTGGTTGTGAAGGATCATGATGCTCACCACACATTGAAGGGTCTGGAAAGTCCTGTGTTGAGACTCTGGTCTTACATTAACACCAGGTACTCCACCAGACATCTGTCTGCTAACCTTGAAGTGTGAAGTTGTGTGGGCCTTGCCAGATCTGGCTCCCTGGAGCCTGTGGCTGGCTCTAGGGCCATTTCAAAGTGGAGAGCAAGCCAGGCAGGTCTGGAGTGAGAAATTATCAAGACAAAGGGAAATCCATGGATCCTCTGGGGGTTTATGGTCTGGGGGTGAGGGGAACCAGGGCACATGGTGTATGCACACTTGTGTACACACACACACACACACACACACACACACACACACTTGGCCTGCATTCACTACCTGGGCAGCCAAGACCTATGATAATCACATTCAGCAAGTTCCTAGGTCCAGGACGCTGCCAGGGTGAAGGTCTTTGGTCTGAAAATTCAAGAGGAATTTATTGATCGGTCAGGTGGGTGGACATATCCTGGGGGTATGGGAAATGAATCAGGCTTGACTGAGCTGGGCAACTCAAAATTTATAAAGTGAAATTTATAGGTGCTACACGGAGGGCAGGGAAGAACAGGAAGAAAGGATGCTTGCCGAGAGAGTGGTTATCTTTGGGTTAATGGGGTAGAGAGGACAGGTGGTCCTGGGCACAAGAGTTGTAAAGCCCAGTGGCTGGCAGCATGAGAAAACAGGGAGGACAGACTAAATTATAGAGGACACAGGGGTCTCCCAAGCCACCGTTAACTCTAGGTCACAGAAGCCAGCCTCAGAACTTTGTATCTAGACTAAGGTTAAGGCAGCTTCCACCCAGGCCTCTGAGTCGTGGGAGCTACAGAGACAGCTGTAGCACTTCCGGGGGATGATTGGCAGCTGGTCTTTGTTGCTCTCCTAGCAGCAGATTTCCACGTTGGCAAAACTGCACAGATGCTCATCTCTAGGGTCCCTCCCACCGAGCCACTGTGGAACAGGACCTTAAGGGACCTTGGCCTGAAGGTCTCAGGACCCTCTGGAACACCTGGCCCTGGATACCATGGCTAAGCCAAATGTTGGCCAACGAGCCACAAAAACAATAAGAAACTATCCACTAGATGGCGCCCGAAACCCGATGCAGTTAGAACCAGGAAGGATCTGACTCCCCAAAGCTCCAGAGTCCCTGATGTTCATGACTGCCACCCAGGGAGCCTGGACTGCTTTTCTCCAGGCAGCTCAGGCGCGCCTCCTCGGGTCTGAAATGGGAATGGCAACAAGACTCAGCTGATTGACAGAAATCACCATTAGAAGCAAACAGTGATAAAGCAATAATCAGTAAAATGAAAAAACCAACTAAGAATTCCAGAGCCTTCTTTTTAAAGTATGTATTTATTGTATTTAGTGTGTGTGTGTGTGTGTGTGTGTGTGTATGTGTGTGTGAAAGCACACATGTACCACAGTGTGGAGGTCAGAGGACGACTCTGTGAAGCTGGTTTTCTTCATTGATCCTGTCTTAGGGTTTTACTGCAATGAACAGACACCATGACCAAGGTAACTTTTTTAATTATTATTTTTTTAAGATTTATTTTATTTATATGAGTACACTGTTGATGTCTTCAGACATACCGGAAGAGGGCATCGGATCCCATTACAGATGATTGTGAGCCACCATGTAGTTGCTGGGAACTGAACTCAGGACCTCTGGAAGAGCAGTCAGTGCTCTTAACCACTGAGCCGTCTCTCCAGCCCCAAGGCAACTCTTATAAAGGACAACATTTAATTGGGGTTGGCTTACAGGTTCAGAGGTTCAGTCCATTATCATCAAGGCGGGAGAATGGCAGTATCCAGGCAGGCATGGTGCAGGAGGAGCTGAGAGTTCTCCATCTTCATCTGAGGGCTGCTAGCAGAATACTGGCTTCCAGGCAGCTAGGATGAGGGTCTTAAAGCCCATGCCCACAGTGACACACCTGCTCCAACAGGGTCACACCTCCTAATAGCACCACTTCCTAGGCTGAGTATATACAAACCATTACACATCTCTTACATAGGTTCCTGAACTCTTATCCACTTAGTTATCTGGTGACCCGGGAAGCTGTCCTTCTAAAGCTGACAGACTGACCTGGATGGAAACAGAAATGATTGCAGGTGGAGTCGAGCACGGGGTGGGTGCACCTGGACAGAAATAACAGCGGCTGTCGCAATGAGAAAGGAAGAAAGTTCTCAGATACTGTAGACTAAACTACGGCAGCACAGGAACACGAGACCCAGCAGGGGCTGCGGCGCTGGAGTGACACAGTCTCACCATCTGCTTCAATTTTCTTCCAAAATGACCTGGACACCCCTTTTATGAAATAAAATGTGGCGGTGGGCAGGGGTAAAAGAGTATCTGGAGAGCCCATGCTAAGGTGTCCCCCTGAGAAATCACACCATGTGACAGAGCTGGTATAAGGGAGATTATATTTGGGGGAATGGAGGAGAGGACCTGGAGACCCTTCTTAGGGTCAGAGCTGCAGAGCCATGAGGGTGGGGGTGGGGGACAGAGAATGACAGAAAGGCCAGCCAGGAACACCAGCAGGGAGGGGGGGAGAGGGAAGCACACGCACTGGGGTGACAAGCAGTCCACCTGCACTTGGTGGGCAGCAGGTGAACACAAGTTGTTGCTAGGTCCCTGGGAGGAGCCTAGCAGAATTTTCTGTAAGCTAACAACTCCTCCATCTAGAGCTGAAGCTGAGCTAGGTGTGGTGGCTAATCTCAGCCCAGGAGGATCAGAGTTCAAGTAGTGAGGGTAAGATCAGGGTAAGTAGTGAGCTGGAGGTCAGCCCCATGAGAATCCATCTTGGGTAATTCCTGAGTCACAAAAAGATGGCCGCCCTCAGAGACTGGTGGTTACCTATGGGCTCCATACACCTATGTGTGTGATGCTTGGCCCCCGGGGAGCAGCACTATTAGGTGTGGTCTTGTTGGAGGAAGTGCGTCACTGTGGGGGTGGGTTTGAGGGCTCCTATGTGTAAGCTCCACTCAGTGCGGATTACAGTAGTCTTCTGCTGCCTTTGGATCAAGACGTAGAACTCTCGGCTCCCCCTGCACCATGTCTCCCTGTGCACTGCCACGCTTCCCACTATGATAATGGACTGAACCTCTGAACCTGTAAGCCAGCCTTAATTAAATGTTGTCCTTTATAAGAGTTGCCTTGGTCATGGTGTCTCTTTCACAGCAGTAAGACCCTAAGACAAAGACTATCACCATGCAACAAAGCCTGAAACGTCACAGTAAGAAGCTGCTTATACTGTGGTCGGGGGCTCCAACTCAGGTCTGAGCACCACCAGTCAGACACACTAACAGGTGAAGAAGGGAATTGGAGCCTGAGCCTTTGAACCTTCCTGGAGATGTCTCAGAAACCACAGGGCAGAGACAGTTGTGCTCGCTGCACACCACCCGTGGTATAGTAAACACTTTACACTGTGGTGTGTAAAGGGAATTTATTTTAAGCTATAGTGAGCAGAAGAGAAGACCTTCTGGGGCACAAGTATTGCTCAGTTGTGTGATGGTTAATATTGAGTCTCATCTTGACAGAAGAGACAAGCGCGTGCGCTATTTGTGAAGGGTTGTCTAGAAGCATTATTGAAGTGGTCTGGTCACATAGGCTAGGGTCCCTGGCTGGGCAGAGTTCATTTCACTCTGCCCCTGATCAGGCATGCCATGTGACAAGCTGTCTCACACTTTTACTGCCAGGCCTTCCCCACCATGATGGAGGACAGGGAGCCACCAAACTGAGAGCCAAGAAAGCCGTCCATTACGTTCCTTCTGCCCCATAGCTTATCACAGCAGTAAGAACGGTAACTAAGGTGGGCTTCTTGGCCGGGATGTGGAGGGTGTGCTTGTTACCATGTGTAGTCATTCGCAAACACCACATGAGGTTTGCATTCAGATCTCTATGTGGATTATAATTCCATAGGAAGCTGGAACATGAGATATCAGAAAGCGAATGAATGGATGGATGAATGAAGACAGTGGGGTGGAGAGTGTGAGAAAGACAAGGGTCAGTGGATCCAGGAGGCTCCTGAGCAGGAAAGGGGAGGTCGGTTCTGGAGCGGGGTAGGGAGTATCAGCGGAAGGAGCAGGAGAGAGGGGACCAGGCTAAGAAGGCAGCAGTAGAGGAATTTCCTCATTGTAAATGCGGAATTGGGGTAGGGGATACAGGGAAGGGTGAACGCCCCTAGTTGGTGATGTTGATCTTTTCTGTGAGGACAGGAGGAGAGACCATGCCGGTGAGGTGTGGCCCTGGGGTTTGAAGCAGGTGAAAGAGAAGCTGAGTATGTAGGGAATACTGGGA